ACACCTGAAGAGCTGATGCTCCCAGACAGTGGAAGTACACAACTAGGTCACATTAAACATCGAGAAAATACCACAGGAGTTCCACATGCCAACTACAAGTGAGTGACACTGGGAAACAGCTCGTAGCTGGCAAACGCCATCCCAGCATCCGTGCATGACTTCTGCTAAAAGTTCCCAGATGAAGTCTGCGGGTGCAGAAGCATGAGCAATCACCCAAACAGAGGGAGTAATAACATTTTCCCACAAGGCAGAGAAGTGAGACCAGGAAAGAACCAAAGACAGGTTTATTCCTCCTGGGAAGCCGCCACTACCTCCTGTTCATAGAAAGGCAGTGGCTGGGTACCACACTCCTTCAGGAGGATTTCCTTTAGGGCCAGAAGAACAAGATGAAGCAGTGATGCTCACAGCAGAAGCTTCAGACTTGTGTAGGCTTTTTTTCCATGTACAGCACTAAGCATAGCAACTGGATATCCTGGTGCTAGCACAGGAGGAAAAGTGTTTGCAGTGTCCTTACCATTGCACCCACACACTACAAAGAACCTCCTTGGCCAGAGGTGACTGGCCACCAGGACTGGTGAGAAACACACAGCCCACAGAGCCCATTTTGCTTACAGAAAGCCTTTTACATCCTGTCAGCATCACCAAACAATGTTCAGCCAAGTACAGTCTTGCAAACCTGAAATCAAAGGTAGTTGTCAGTTGCAACGTAGCTGCTATCACAGATAACAGACAGTCTGTTGCACAATATTTGGTGCTGGCCATAAAATTGCACTGAAAAGACTTCTATGCCCTTTCCACAACAGTGATGATCATTTAAAACATTAATAAAAGGGCATTGTACAGGACCTCAAAAAGAAGGCAACGCTGCATGGGGAGAGAACAGACATAACATGTAAACTTGAACACTGTGAGAAGTGTCAGTTTATGTCTTTTTACTCCTATGTATCTTGAAGTTACTTGTGGAGTCCACTGATTACAAAAGCATGTTTAATTTTGCCTGTGATCAAGCACATACCCGTGATGCAGCAGCAAGCCGTGCACCTCAGGGAAATGTCACACAGTTTTGGATGGTGAGTGGGCAGCACAGCTTTCTCAGCACATGAATTAACACCTAAATTCTTTGAAAGTTTCCATTTTTCCAATTTCTTCACCAGGCTTTTTCAGATGAAACTCTAGTTGTGACGATCAGCAATCCTGTTGCAATATTTCCTCTGCATGTGTCCTCACAGAGCATCCCCATGGTTCACTCCCAAACACAAAAGCAAGGCTATTCTTTACACCTTCAGGTCAGCCCTTTAGCACAGACCTAGAGTAGTATCTCATCCCAAAAGCAGCTGTCAGAAGGGCACAGACAGATACCTGTGCAGGAAGTAACCTCCTGAGGGATTGCTGCTGCTGCAGCGCCCATGACCAGGGTCTGAGAGCAAAGCCACACACCCAACACATTAACAACCAAGCTGAGCACTTAGAGGAAACAACCAACCTCCAAATTATTTCAAACTGGAAACTGGAAACTTAATCTAAGTTCCAGCCTGGAACAAAGACAATAGTTACAATATCCTCAAAAATCAGATTTACTATGGTCTGTCATGCCACAAGATCACAATGTCACACTTTCACAGAATGGTTAAGATTGGAAAGAGACCACTGGAGGTCATCTAGGTCTCAGTCAAGCAAGGGTCCCCCAAAGAAGGTTATTGAAAAATATGTCCAGATACCTTTTGAATATCTCCAAAGAGAGACTCCACAACCTCTCCAGGCAAACTGTTCCAGTGCTTGGTCACCCACACAGTAAAAAATTCTTACTCGTGTTCAGGTGGAACTTCTCGTACATCAGTTTCTGCCCATTGCCTTTTGTCCTATTGCTCAGCACCACTGAGCAGAGCCTGGCTCCATCCTCCTGGCACTCTCCCTTCAGACATTGACAGACTTTGATGAGGTTCCCTCTCTGGCATCTCTTCTCATGGCTGACCAGGCCCAGCTCCCTCAGCCTTTCCTCATACGTGAGATGCTCCAGTCCCTTGATCATCTTTGTTACCCTCGGCTGGACCCGCTCCAGAGGCTCCATGTCCCTCTTGCCCTGAGGAGCCCAGGAGTGGGCACAGCACTCCAGGGCGGAGCGGAGGTGCGGGCACAGAGCAGGAGCCCGTGCGGGAGCCGGGCGGGCGCCGGCTGCTCCCTGCCAGGCCTCGCTCCCGGCACAGCCCGGCCTCGGGCCCGGGCCAGCACGGCCGGACCCGCCCGGCTACAGCACATCGAGCCGTCATGGAGGGCTGGGCTCCGGCAGGGAGCCATGGGAAAAAGGAATCCAACCGAAAGACACGTACCCCACTCTCCCAGGCTGTAGGGTGGTCTGTTGAGAGTGAGAGCTCATCAGAACGGGCCCAGCCTAACCTGGAGGAGACCTGGGACAGAGGAGCTTGCATGGCTGGTACCTGGCAAAGCAACCAAAAGCCTTCACCAAAAATGATTTAATTAGTTTTTGTTTGGCAAAACTTTCCCTGCCTTACTCCCTGTGCCCTCCCCACGACCCCAGCCTGCCTGGGTTTTGTGGAGTAATTTTAGGGCTCCGTGTTTCTGACCAGATCTCATCTACTGTGACATGTGACAGAGCCCAGTGAGTGGAAGGCTCCAGCCCACAGATACCCAAGAAAATCTAAGATTCCCTTGCTGCTCATGCAGTTTTCTTAGACGGTTTGTCAAAAGTTATTGGTGGCTATTTTTTAAATGGAAGGAGTAGTGAGAAAATAGCTTTGCAGCATATTGGGCTAGCAGATTGTTCAGACTCTGTACAGGGACAATAAAGCCTTTAGGAGCCTTTGATTGACATATATAATGAATGTAGCTGTCAAACTTTTGTGCAGCAATTTTATTTTGGCAAGCTATTTCACCGGCCAGGGTTTGCATAAAAGGAATAATCCACATTGTTGTGGTGCTGCTATTTACAGAGCCTAGAGGACAGTGGCATCAGTACAATATAAATATTAATTTTCAGATTTCTTTTGAAATACATAATGCTGTATGCAACCTATACTACATGCACATCTTCATAGAGGGAGAAAGGCATTGTTCTGCAGAGAGAAGGGGGTCTGGAGCTGCTGGGAGTTGTTCATTCACTGATTCATTATGTAGCCTTTAAAAAGGCACTTAGTCACTCTGCAGTTTAGTGTTTCTCTCTGTGAAGCAGAGAACAAAGCCTCAACACAAACTGCTATCACTGTTATCAGTCAGAGTGGCAGAGGTCACAGAGCCAGCACGGGGTCAAGGGGCTGTTCTGAGCAGCCCTTGTGTGCACAAAGCCCAGGACAGCTGTGCTCTTCTGAAACAGATTCTTTCTCCTGCCAAAGCAGTGGCAGGGTCAGCTTGGGCTACCTAAGACAGCAGTTGCTGATTACCCACTACCTCTCTTTGGTTATGAACAATAACTCACCAAGAAATCAGTAGCCTCAGAGAAAACAGGCAGAAAGTTACTGAGAGGGCAAAGCAAAACATCAAGGAGAGGAAGAAAATAAAAATCTACATAAGCAAGGATGACTCTCACACTGTATTTGCTGTGCAGTCAAGCCCACAAGTGGCTTGTGTGTCTGAAGGTGGAAATACAAAGACATGTCCTGTTCCCTGAAAAGGTAAGCAACTTCTCAAATTATCTTTAGAGGCTATTATTAGCCTCACTCTAACACTGATGTACCCTGTGCCCAAAACCACAGCACGCACACATTGTATCCATTAAAAGAGATATTCACAGCTCTGCAGTTCATAGAAGTGCTGGGCCCATGCTTTGGTACCAGTACAATTTAAAAAAAGAAGTCTGAGTAGTAAGTAAGGGCATGGAAAGGTCATGCACAGCAAGAATTTGGAAAGAGCATGAAAATCCAGCTTGAGGTGCTGAGGTCAATGGGCACACAATTTTTAAGAGTGTAACAGGTTTGTTTGTTCTGTCATTCCTATATTCATTTTCAATTCTAGAGACAGGAACTTCATGTCTACCCCCAAAATAATAATATTGTCTGAGAAACAGCAAGCTTGGTACGGCGTGCCAGAACTTTTTCATGCCCATTTATGTAATAAAGCATCATATACAACCAGGAAGCAGAACAGGAGCTTTATGCTCCTGTTACTTGGGTCCTAAAATACAGAGAAAGGAGACAGGGTACAGAGCAAAGAAGAGCAGAGCCCTGTCCTCGTTCACATCACAGACATGTAAGGCTTTAACACAAAAGATATAACTATATGGTGAAACACCTATGGGGGACACTCTTGTCTGGCACAGAGGGGTTCTGCAGATGGACTTCCAAGGTGGAAAAAGAGTACCAAGTTGGCAATACAAATTACTTCAGGCCAAACTCCAATACATAAATATAGATTCCATATACAGATCCAGTGTTAAACCCAGGAGAAATACAGGTGGGGAGAAAGGAGCCTGGCTGATTTAAGCTACATATTTAAGAAGTTCAAGGTAGCTGAAAGTAGCACTGATGCCTCTGGGTTTCTGTGTTCATCATTTAAGGTGAAAATACAAAACTCAAGGTACAGGATCCCAAGGATGTTCCTCACTGGCTCCAAGCTGGCAGTTTCCTAAAAGCAGCACTTGTTTCCTTAGTTTGCTGACCAGGAGTGCCACCTCCTCTCCCTTCTGCCATGGTGCTCAGCCTTCCCCAGTGTCAACAAAATGGCATGTTACTCTACTTTGCCAAACTTTAGCACTGAGAATTTAATTTCAAACCGTTCGGCATCTGCTCTAGCCAAAACAGTTCAGCCATTTCCAGGAATATTATTAAAGGAAAAATATACTGCTTGGCACATGTTAAATAAATCCAGGCTACCTTTTATATGAGGATCTCTAGCTTCAGAAGGGAAATTTTGAAATTGGCAGAGAGGTGACCTTTGTGGTAGAAACATGTCTATCCCTATTAAAACCTACCTAAATTTGGCCAGATTACAGGGCAAGGAAATACCGCAGTTGTGGATCCAGTAAAGACTTTTGAGAATTGCAGTTACTTGCTGTTCCTCCTGTGGGCCAGAGAACCCTGTGTCCTGCAGAGCTGCAGCTTGTGCTTACCCATGATCTTGGTCAGCTGTGCCTGCACAGGTCCTCCATTGCTGAATGATGAAATTACAGAGTCAAGGGTGAGAGAGAGACCAGCATTCCATCTGACATCTCCATATATTCCCATCTTTTTCTGGTAGAGGACAGCTTCATCTGCCACACAGCCCATGTTCAACATCAGCATCACAAGTGCTGAACAGCATGAGCACACTGCAGAAGACAAACTGCAAATAAATCAGGGCAATTACAATACATAAATGCACAGCTGGAAGAATTAATGTCAAACACACAACGGCATTGCAGACATCCCCTAATAATGAAGGCTGGAATGTGCTGTCTCAGTAAAACTCACTGAATGAGATTTGTGTGCAGTATAAGGAGAGTTTCTGAGAGAAATATAAATGCAGGCCATCATTCTGCAAAACTTCACAAACCCAAGCTTTTTCATTCAGGCGCCATCTCACTGACTTTGCTGCAAAATCAAGGCCATTGATGTTAAAAGCACAGACAAGAATGTCTGCTCAAACTGATGTGTTTTAACTGTATTAATTAATTATCCAGAAATTCTTCTTATGTCATGGAAATAAAGTTTGAACACTGGCAGATAAATGCTCTTGCATTAAATAGAGAGGAATCAGTATTTGCTGTTGTATCTCTGGCATGAATGGGAGTGGCATGAGTAGGTGGGCTGCAGGCTCCCATTCATCTCTTACAAATAGGGGTTAAGAGGATTTACAGATTTACAATGAAAGCACTCACCCGATTGATAGTTGCAACATTTCAGTAATTCTTCAGTCTTGGCTCATGGAAAAAGGACAAAGGCAACCAACCATGCTATTCCTTCAAGGATTTACAGCCCAGCATATCAAGGAAATGGTTTCAAGACAAGGAAAAAGATCTATGGAGGAAACACTCGAAGCAGCCATTAGAAAAAAAAGGTTCCACTTTCACACAAGGGAATCTTCTCCCCAGTCTTCAGCACAATGTGCAGTCCTTTTGTACATCCATGTGTGGGATCTCAGGACTCATGTCCATATACCGAGAACTGGCATGTCATCACCATCTAGAGAACGATTTCAGTTCATGAAGTGCTGCTAGGAGAAGGATTATGATTCCTCTCACCAAAATACTCGACAGGCTACAAAGGAAGAGTACAAGGAAAAGTTAACTTCTTTGTTCAGGAAATGTACACCATCCCCTTTCCTCACCCATAAAGCAGGAGCAACACAGAATTTATATACATATATAGAAGTTCTATATCTGTAATATAGATTATATACTTTAGTACATATATATATATATGTAGATAGGTATAGATCTATATGTAGTAGGTACAGTATATACGTACTTCAGGTCTGGTTAAAGCATAGTGTGGAGCAGAGGGAGTCTGTGGGGCTTTCATTCCACGGGAGAAGCAAACCATACCTCCTGCAGAAGGCAAAGTGTCCATGCAAACTGCAAAAGGCACTCAACAAACAATTTTGGTTTGTCACTCAAGTGCTTGGTTAATGATTCACCCTGAACAACCAAGAAAGGAAGAAGTGAGCTTGTCCTCCTTAAGTCCACTGGCTGCATTAAGAAGAAAGAGCTCAATGTGGAGCCAGTGCAAGAGAGAAACTTCTCCCCTACAGTGCTGCAGGATGCGCTTTCCCAGGAACATGAACCGGGATTACGCGTCACAACTGCATGCATGGCTGAAACAGGTATGGGCCAACCCAGCCACACATGGACCTTGTGTCATATTTTTCATTAGCAGAACCCAGATCCTTTACACAGTAATTGCCTCCCAAATGAGGAAGCTGCAACATAAAAGGCATTTGGGTGACTTCCTGATGGGTGACTGCAGAGCCAACAGGCTCATCTCAGTTCTTCCACGCACTCAGGCTTGGAGTGCCTGCAAAATCCTTTCTTCCTCTTATGCCTCTGAAAGGCAGTATGGCCAGCCATTTTGCAGGGGATTTCAATAAAATTACATGCTTGATGTTTACATGTTTTTGCCCATGAGACAGCTTTGATATGCTTTGTGAAACACATGCTTTCACAGAAATCTGAGGAGGAAAACCACATTACCAAGAACAGTAAAATATTGTTCTGTTTGGAACAGACAATTTTAACAAGACTGTTTTAATGGCAAGATATATTTAATGGTAGATATTTTTAAATGCTGGCAACAGGTTTTGCTAGACAAAATCTTATTATATCATTCATTGGATAGATTGCTAATTTGCAAAAACCCATCATTTGAGACCCAACAAATACCATTCTAATGTTAGAGAAATCCCTTGACTTCTCTGTACAGCTTTGGAGACTGTGATACAAGGTCAAGCCATTTGTGAGTGTAAAGTCTCTCCAGTACTTAATTTTTCCAGGTGCCACTTGGTGCCACTTGGCTGTTTGAAGTTATTACAATGTTTCAACAGAGAACTGCACAGAATGACCGTGTTCTCCTTCCCATCTAAGAATTGCATAAGCAGATAAATGTTTCTGTGTTCAATAACTAAAATTAAGATTCCCTCTGCCTTCAAGAATGTCGCTATTCTGCCTGAGAAACCACATCCTGCTTTGCATCCTATGTGGATTCATTCTCTCAATTGAGAGACGTCAAGCTCAGCAACCTTCCAGGACTGCTGAGAATCTCTTGAGAGTCTACAGTAAACATTTCTTTATGAACTGCGTCAGCTATGATGAACTACACAATTTCACACCACTAAGGAAAGTGTCTGGGACTGGCTTTCTAACCAATGCAGACACAGGGGTGGACTAACCAGCCAATTATAATTTTTCCTAGAGAATGATGAGTATAACTTTTTCCCACTCAGAGCTATTGTTCTGTGTTTTCCCAGGACTTCAGAGTGTGTCCAGCAGTGACAGGAACCCCTGTGCAGTAAATCCACTCAGGCTTACCAGGAAACTGGGAATCCTGGGTGCATTTATGCTATAGTCCATGTAACCTGCTACTGCTAAGGGTATTACAAACATTTTGAAAGTCTTACTGCAGATATTGCTCATGGCTGCACAGTGGATTTGCCCATCTGATCCTGCTGGAAAACCATCCCATTCAGCTGGTACAATTCACACACATACAGTCAAGGACCTCCCAAAGCATCAGACAACCCACACAGCACCTCAGCCATGTTCCCATCTTAGGCAAGGGAGATTTGACATTTCTTGAACAAAGCCCTGTATTTGCAAGTTCAAATACATGCTGCTACAGGCAGTAGTGCATTACTGAGTGCATTTGCAGACCAGCTCCCTGAGGTGCTCTCTCCCCACCTCCTGCATGCCCCAGCACATAAGGAAATCAGACCCAAGTGCCTCTCAGAACAGAGCACAAGCAGCTGGCCTCCAGCAAAAAAAAAAATCTGACACAGACAGATCCCCTGAGTCTCACCATGCTGCACTTCGAGGATGTCTCATGGCTGCTTTGACTTGAAGGCGACCTTCACCCCACCTGATGAAACCAGCAGTAGGCTGAGGGCCAGGCTCAGGGCCAAAGCCTGTGCAAACATCTGCTGGGAATCAGTCAAATGGCCTTTTGCTGTGGAAAAGAAGTCTGACTTTGAAGTCTGCCCTAGAGATCCGTAGCAGAGGGGCCTTCTATGCACAGGCTGAGGCATCACGTCACGAGCAGTCTCAGCTGAACATGCCTATTTATGGTGGAAAGCTAAAGGTGCTATGAGTCAGGTGCCTGAACAGGGATCTCTAATTATACCTTCCAGCTACATGTAATATGTAAATATGCTATGTGGGCAGGAAATGTATGAAATAGGAAGGCATTTATTATAATTATTTTTAAAGAATTTTTAAAATATTTAAGTATTTGAACTTTATTTACAGCATGGCAAGAGCTGTTGCATAGAGAGTTGGAAGTGAATAAACTCCTTACCCAAAACTCTCTTACAGGCCACTCAGCAAGATGAAGCAAATATCACTTTTCTGTATCAGTTTCTTTATTTTTTACAGCCACACCAGGCAAAACTGAGCTGTTTAATAAACTGATATGTTTTGCAGATGGAAAGGAATATATAGAGCCTTGTATGATTTATAAAAATGTAATACAAGAGCATTTAAATTGTGGCTTCTTCTGACGAAGTGGACAAATTCCTGGATTTCTTGGTTGATGTTTATAGCAAATTAACCTACTAGGAAAAATATTGAAGCGACAGCAACAAGAAGCAGAGCAGAGAGGCACAAGGGGGTGAGCAGCAGTGGTGGGAAGGCCCCCCAGGCTAGCATGTGCCCTGAGGAGAAGGCCTAGGATGACACTGGTGGCAAACACAGTTTTGTCTACACGCTTTTGCCTGCTATGCTCTGGGATGAGATCACCATATATGCCCATCCCTGGCCTGGCCACTGCTACCTGGGGACAGCCTGCTCCTCTGCTCCCAGCTCTGACTTGGGAGCCTGCAATGTAGGATATGCCTATGCAAACTCCAGGAAAACCACCTAAAATGGCCACAACACAGCTGCCTGACCAGAAGGGGACTTCCCAAGAAGGGATCAGAAGAGGAGTATTTTAGAATAATCTCTGTAACAGCAGTTTGAACCTAAGGGATGGGTCTGGACAGTGACTCATGGTGCCCAGTGCACAGCTGGAGCAGGATTGCATGTACAATTACAGCTATTAAAGCCAGCCAGCTAAAAAACTCACTGCTTCAAAGTGGCATCTGAGAAACCACAATTATTTCCCGTTCAAACTGTAGAAGAAAAATGTGGTATTTTTTGGTACCAGCATGCAGCAGTGTTTGCAACAGCTGTACATGTTCAACTGAAAGGGAAATAGTGGGTTTTGACAAATTTAGGTTCCAATATTAAAAATCTGTATTATAAAATTCATTAGCCATTAATCATTTGTGTTACAGATATGACTTTAAGACCTTCACTGTCAGGGCAGGCTTTGGACCTGTGATATGGTCATACCCATGTGAAATGTCCATTCAGCAAGCCCTGATGTCATCTATCTCCTCCTTCCTAATTTAAGGGGGGAACAAAACTTACTGATATAATTACAATTTTCTAAAGAATAAAATTAATGCACAGAAGTTGAGAAGCAGCAAAAAAACCCAACTGTTGAAGCAAATTCCTAAATCAAGTGAAGAGAACCTTTGACAGCAACTGTGGCTCAAGGCTCCCATGACAATGAGAGCAGTGAAGCAAAGTCTTGTGCTTGACTTGTTTCCCGACAGGCATCTGGGAACTCCTTGGATGGGGCTGGCATGAAACCTTCACGGCAGGATGATCACTCAGAGGCTTACAGCAGACACACCACAGAGAAGAAAAATATCCCATACCTACTCTGTGGATCAGATGGAACTATCATTTCAGAGGAGGTATCAAGGGAGAGGATTAAGAGCAAGGAACAATTTCATCTGATGTCCTTGGGCCAGCTAAGCTGCAGTGCTCCTTGTCTAGTGGGCAACGGCCCCAATGCTTTGGGGTTTAGCAGTTCTAAATAGTCAGGTAAACTGAATGTGGCAAGGAGGAATAGCCTGAAATAACAGTTGTGTGTATATGATGCTTGCCAGTATCCTCTCATAGCAAAATGATCTGTTTGGAGGGCTGACTACTTCTTCTAACAACCCATAAAGCTGTGATGTACAAGCTGGGCCTCTTTCTCCTAGAAAATTTGTCCAGATTTTACCCTGTTAGAATCACACAGCAAACAAGCACAGAAAACTTGGAGCTTTTCATTCCAAGGCACCAAGGGGAAGCAAGTTCCCTAAAGTGTTGTGGTAACAGACTGACTTTGCTGGAGCAATAAAGTCTGCACCCATTCAGCAGTCCCCAGTGCCTGTTAAAATTTCTCAAAGAAGCTTGGGTGTTTGTGGGTTTGAGTTATCTCTGAATTCAGAAAACCAGAAGACAGCTGTTGACAGCATTTAGCTCACATAGCCACCATAAGATGGCCAATGGTAATCCTACACCAGCACTACATCTCTGCTTATCTCCACACTTAGCAGAATATTTTCTCCTCTACTTCAAAGCATTCAGCAGTCTCTAAGAGTATCTTTTAGTTTCATCACCTAGACTGTGGTCTTTAAAGTATCAAGCCTGAAGACAAATATAATTTTTATGTGATGAATTCAGTATTTTCATGCCTGTCTGGCTTCAGGGGAGACTTTAAAACTCTGCAAATAA